TTGGTTAGTATTTCAACATGTTTTAGAAATTTTGTCCCAACTTTGAACCCCTATAAAATCTTCATATGAGCTCGGAATGAGGTGATGTTTTTTTTTTAGATTATAGTTCTCAGTCTTGGCTACGTCTTAGAATAAAAAATAGCTTAATTAGGGGGTGTTTGGCTTATCTTTTGAGAGGCCAAAAGTCCTTTTTGGAAAAGTTGCAAAAAGTCAGGTTTTCCTGACTTTTCCAAAAAGTCAGTTTTCCTTATATCCAAAATCCAAAAGTAGCTTTTAAAATGATTTTACCAAACATCTTTTACCTTTTATCTTTTCCTAAAAGGACTTTTGACCTCTCAAAAGATAAGCCAAACACCCCCTTAGTCAAGATTCCGCTGAGTTATACAGCCCTAAACAGTGGTTGTTGTGATTGTTGGTTAGTATTCAACATGTTTTTAGAAATTGTCCCAAATTTGAACCCATATAAAATCTTCCTATGAGCTCGGAATGAGGCGATATTTTTCTAGATTGTAGTCCTCTGTCTTGTCTATGTTTAATATCAACAAATAACTTATTCGGTTTGGTTTTTGCTAAGTTATACAGCTCCAAACAGTGTCTGTTAGGATTTTTGTTCAATATTCCAAACAATGTCTATTTGTAACTTTATTAAAAAAATGTTGTTTAAATAGTGATAAAACAAGTGTGGTAATATTTCTTTAATTTGGATCTATTTGTAACTCTATTAAAAAATATTGTTTAAAAAGAAATAAATAAGGTAAAAAAAACTCATTTCCATTTCACTGCTTAATACAGCCAAATAAGAGAACTTATTTTCAGAAACATTTCTCTACTGTATTCTCAGTTCTACCAAACAGTGAAATCAATTCTCTTTCTCCAACTTAATTCTCTTTCTCTGCATTTCAATTCTCTATTGCAATTCCATTTCTCTGTACCAAACGCACCCTAGGAAATCCAGGTCGTTACGGTGTTGTTCCATATACTCATACATATCGATTCTTATAATAAGTTTTTCATCATCTGTGGGACCCAATAACATAAACGAAGTAGTTAGTTGTTAATATCTCCTCAAAACAGCATGAGACCTCAATAATGCCTCCGCCACAACACTAATTGCCTGATATTGGCCTACAACTCGTTGATGACTTATCTGCCTCCTTTTAATTAGAGGGTGATTGTGGTGGAGTCTAACAGTGGCTAAAGCTATAGGAAAAGTTGCAGGTGAAAGAAAAAATGGTGAATGTGAAGAGGAAATAAAGAATTTACAGGCTTCACATAATAATCAAAAGGTAAAATAGTCTATTTATAAAAATAATAATTTTAAAAGGTTTAAAATATATTTGGAATTGCTAAAATAAAAAATTTAGACAAATTCAATATTTTAAAAATTAAGAAGATTAAATATGATATTTTAAAATTAAGCTGGACAAATAATATTTTATGAAATTCTTCTTATCATTTGTGATTAATTATTTTATAATTTTTATAGTCTATATTAATTTATTTTGTCAACAATATATCTATTATTAATAAAAGAGTCTTTAAACTGCCACATGACACTTTTTTAAGCCACCACTATGACAAGTGTCACTACCACATAAAATCATTGACTAATTTTCCCGCCCAGCTTCGATCTCTGTTTCCGCTCATCTTCACCCTCTTAGTTTGAAATACATATCATTGTTTACCAATCTAATATCCCAATAAATATCCCTATAAACCAACTAAGAGATTTTAGGCAACAAATCAGGGATCCTGATTTCTAATTTTCCCCTTTTTATCAGACTTGCCTAATGATTAAGGATGCCGATTGCATTTCTAAACGAATTCACACAAATTTAGCAATTATGTTTGCGTCTGCTCTTCGATCGCTATCTCTGATGGCTTTGAGATGAGTTTTTTTTCGCTCTCATGTAGTTCATAACTTGAACCAGGTTCAAATTTTTATTTTTATTTTCGATTTTTAGCCCTAAATTGATTTGTGTTGCTTGAACTAGGTTCGATGTGTTTTGTTTGATGTATTGGCTAGAACATTTTTAAACATAAGTTGATGTGTTTTTCTTGGATCAGGTTCAATTTTTTTTTTTTTTGTGATATCTCACGTTTGATTTTTTTTTATATCTCAGGTTTGATTTTTTTTATATCTCAGGTTTGAAGACTTGCACATTGACGTTCTTAATCTCGATTTTAGGATAGTAATTTTCCTCTTTAGCTTTTTCAATTCATTATTTTAATTAAGGTTTCTTGACGTAGCCAAAACATGCAACTGCTTTGAGATCTTACCAAAATGCTTAATGTCATCCCCTACTATGTAGTTGCATCATGATTTGTCGGCTTTTGGTAACGAATTTGAACCTTTATTGATTGTTTGCTCTAATAGCTTTCTTTTTGGATGAATTAAAGGCTAATGGATTTTAATTTTGATTGAGAATAGGAGATGCATAATTGATTTTTTGTCATTGATTTTATTCCATAATTGATTTTTTGTTGCATTGTATATAGACTTGATGATAGTTTAAAGTTTTGACAGTTCTGTTTTAAAGACATCAACAAGCTTTATTGGTTTTGGTTTAATAAGAGCTGAAGATGGTGAATTTAATCCTAAGGATTCTCAAAAGCTTCTACTTTTTCTTTCATTCTTTCCAGGGTTTGGACCATTTTCAAATTCTGTGTCATTAGTTTGATTTCGTTTTTTTTTAAAAAAAATTTCTTTTCAATATCTATATTTAATTAGTTAGGTTTCATTTCAGTTGGAGATTGAAACTAGATCTTTTTAGTTTTTATCACCGGCAGCCAAAACAAATAAATGTGGCAGCCAAAAAAATCCTTCATCAATGAGTAATGAGGAAGTATTCCTGTAAATGAGTTAATTTGAAAAAATTACCAGAATACCCTTTTGCTGTAGTTTAATTTCCTGACTTTGATGTTCTATGAATTTGTTGCATACTATTTTTAATTCGATCTCACATATTTATGTTTTTGCGCTTTTAATCATTTTTTTCCGACTATATTTGGGATTTAACTTTGCCATTTAGTTTCTCCCATTTGAATAACAAATAATGATCATTACAAAAAATGACCGTGTTGCCGTTTCAGCAAAGTAGTTCTCCCAGTTTAATGACAAAACCTGTCCATTTTACCCTTTGTTTGGGTTTTGGAATTAATATTAAATACAAATAACCATTATAATGGATAATGTGGTCTTAAAATCAGAAAAAAACAAAGGCCGCTCCACTGTTGTATTTGTATTTAGAATACATATATATTGTTAACCTGATAATTTGTCCTTTTTTGTGAATTGACAATTAACCTTAAACTATTTTGTGATTTAAACTCTAATATGTAATATATATTGTTGAGCTTTGATAATTTTTTTTGTATTAGAAATTAACCATAAAATAAAAATGTAATTTGAAAGTACATTGCATGATGTAAAAAGAGGACAATCACAAAATAGGACAAACTCAAACGTATTCTAAATTAAAAAAGGTCCTTTATTTTAATTTTTATTAAAGAATTTTCATTTTGTTAATTTTCTATTTAACAATGTATGAAAGTAGCCAGGAATACAGCTTATATTGTTGTTTATTTTAAAAGAAATGCAAGTACGATGCTAATATTGTAAAATAAACTATAGTACAATGTTATTTCATGTTGTGTGTGTATTTAAGTGTTTATTGCTACTTATTTTTTTATGAATTGAAATTTAGGATTATGGTTAGCTCATGTAGATTACACCTTGCAAAAATGGTCTAGAAAACGTAATAGGGTGCAAAAACATAAAGATTTTTTGAAAATTACCAATTTTCTCAAAACAATACTCATGAAAGAGCCTTTGGAAATCAATGTTCAATACAACTAAACACCATACATAAATCAACTACTTATATATGTTTGATAATTGCCTAAGCAAAGTCCACTGGTAAAGGTCTCATTGGAAGTAATACGTCGGTCTTGTGATTTAGAAATCGAACAAGTTTTTTTACAGCCGTAGGAACAAATGCGTATGTCCAATACGCATACCTCATTTAGGGTTAGACTCATTAAAGGGTAAAATTGTAATATGGAAGTATAAGTGGTTAATAATTGATTATGCATTAACCTATATATCTTTTTCAATTAAATTGGATTATGCCAAGGAACAAATGTACTTTTTTAATTATAAAACAATCAAATTTGTTTCTTAACATTAACATGCACATTTTTTCAATCTATAAATTTTGAAATAAAAAAATCACCATTATAAAATAACTACATTACTTAAAGTGTTAATTAATTAGCGTTTTTAATAAATAAATAAATTTATGGTTCGATACGTTTTCTACTCTGCGACTATAAATACTTAATAAATATGTTTTTTAATAAAATCATGCAAATACATCATATGTATAAAAAAATTTCTGCCTATATAACAATTTCACGTTGCATTTTCTTAATAAATCTTATTCATGATTAACATGTTATACGGCAAAATTCTTATAAAAAATATTATAAAGAAAAAACATTCAAGAAATTTAACGACTAATTACTCATAATGGATTACTTGCTATGCTTTAATTCATATGATTTGTTGATATTAACATCGACTTTATTATGTTGTAAAATACATATTATTTATATTGAGTCATGTTTATTTGACATACACCCCCTCCTCATACCTATTTTCATGGTTATTTTATTCATTATTATTTGATCTTATATGTTTAGTAATTAATATCATCTTTTCTTAATATAACTATTAATTTTTTTTGCAGATTCAAAAGCCAATATAGAGCTAAAGAAAGGAAAAAAAAAAATAGAAAATTATATTTGAATATTAAAATATCTAAAGTTAATTGATGATTACTTATCAAAATAATTCTAAAACTCATCACCTCCGATGTTATGTACTACTTATCAAATTAATTCATGCTAATATGTTATGATTTTTTGTTTTTGTATTAATTTTTTTATTTGTATAAATTTTAATCATTTTCCATGGGTTATAACCTTAACTTTAGTGGAGATAATAAGTTGGTAGAGCAGCACACATATTTCGCCATTTGTTTCTCCCATTTCCCTGATACTGAGTGACCTTTTACTCATTCTAGCCTATCACCTCAACAACAACACGCCGCCTTCGCCGCCGCCGCTTGCCGCCAGCACCTCCGTTGACTTTCAAAAATCTCCACCATGCAAGCTTCCTTGATTGCCCCAACTCCCCGCCCCACCAGCATTCTCCCATCCACAACGTTCCGACCACTCATCCCAACTACCCATAAACCCTACACGTTCTCACCCCGAGCCTCCGCCGCCTCCTCATCCACAACCGAAACAGTCCCACCACCACCACAATCTGTATCCTCCGTCGACCCATCATCAAAACTCAACAAGTTCAGCTCCAGAATCACCGAACCCAAGTCACAGGGTGGCTCTCAGGCCGTCCTTTACGGCGTGGGTCTCTCCGATGACGACCTTAAAAAACCCCAAATTGGTATTTCATCTGTTTGGTACGAAGGGAATACCTGTAACATGCACTTACTGAAGCTAGCTGAGGCTGTGAAAGAAGGGGTTCAAGATGCTGGAATGATTGGATTCAGGTTCAACACTATTGGGGTTAGTGATGCCATTTCAATGGGGACTAGAGGAATGTGTTATAGTCTTCAATCCAGGGATTTAATTGCTGATAGCATTGAAACTGTTATGTCTGCCCAATGGTATGATGCCAATATCTCCATCCCTGGTTGTGACAAAAATGTAAGTTAACCCTCAATCAATTTCTTTTATATTTCAATATTCCTTTTTTTTGTTTGTTAAAGAAACTCTTTTGATCTTTTTGAGGTTGGTTATGATTTGCTATGGAATCTATCTCAAAAAGTTAAGCCCATTTCTTATTAAAAAAAGGCCATTCTCAAGAATCTTGATTGACATATTGGAAAAGGGGTTATTTCTAGTGGTTATTACTAAAATTATGAATCATTTGCTTAAAATCATGGGAAAATGTTTCTTCTATATGACATGATCAAATACATTCAAATATTTTGTTTTTCAGATGCCAGGTACCATTATGGCAATGGGTCGCTTGAATCGGCCAAGTATAATGATCTATGGTGGCACCATTAAGGTCTGATTTGTATAATTTATAAACACTTTCTTTATATAATTTTATTCAGTAGGTATTTTTTTTTTTGTTAATTGCTTATAAAACTTTCTTGCAGCCTGGTCATTTTCAAGGCCACACATACGATATAGTGTCCGCATTTCAGGTATAATTAATGTTTTGCTCATATCTTATTTGCTACTCTATCTAAATAATATTTTTTAATTGTAATAATTTTTTATTTGATATTATTTTTTATAGGTTTATGGAGAATATGTAAGTGGTTCCATAACTGATGAACACAGAACAGATGTACTTCGTGCTTCTTGCCCAGGGGCAGGGGCATGTGGAGGAATGTACACTGCTAACACCATGGCTTCTGCCATTGAGGCAATGGGAATGTCTCTTCCTTACAGGTAGGGTCATTTTCGTAATTTCACACTGTTCTATTTGCAATTTATAGATTCACCATGTGATATTTTTTATTTTTGTATTTCCAAAAGCTCGTCAACACCTGCTGAAGATCCTTTGAAGTTGGATGAGTGCCGTTTAGCTGGAAAGTATATTCTTGAGTTATTAAAAATGGACTTGAAACCAAAAGACATAATTACCCCTAGATCAATGCGTAAATGCAATGGTTACTGTGATGGCTCTTGGTGGATCCACTAATGCTGTATTACACTTGATTGCCATAGCAAGGTAAAACAGCAAATTTGTTAGATTAATGTTTTCATTGATTTGATTTTGACTTTCATTTCTTCCTATTACAACTTTTCTTAGAAAAAAACTACCCCATTATAGCAATTCAATCCAAATAAAAAGCAAATTTTACTGTTTTAATTGCAGATCAGTTGGCTTGAGCTTGACTCTTGATGATTTTCAGAAGGTTAGTGATCAAGTTCCATTTCTTGCGGATCTTAAACCAAGTGGAAAATACGTTATGGAAGATGTACATAAGGTCAGAATCGTAGTTTTCTTTTCTCAAAGTTCATTGGGAGATGATTTTAGATTTTTGTTGCATACCCTTGATTTCTTTATTTCTTATATTCATTTCTTTATTTCTTTTTGAATTGGTTTAGATTGGAGGAACACCTGCAATCCTTCGTTACCTTTTGGAGCTCGGGTATCTAGATGGAGATTGTATTACAGGTAGGCATAATAAAAACAAGTGTTTGACTAGTTGACTCTCTAAACAATTGCACTTGACTTTTTATTATAATCCTTGTGAAAACACTACAAAACTCTGAAATGTACATAAATTAAGAATTTTGGACAAGTTATCGAGATTTAATATTAAGAATTTTGGACAAGTTATCGAGATTTAATAAGCCAAAAGAACCATCTTTTTTGACACCATTTATCCAAAAAGTGTGTATTCTTGCAAAATTAGTGCTTTTTGTTTGCATTTTTTATAAAGTAGTTGGATCTTTTTTCATGTTGAAGGAATTTAAGTTGTTTTCTATTTTTTTTTTTTTGGTTATTTTCAGTCACGGGGAAGACATTGGCAGAAAATGCAAAACTTTTCCCTTCTTTATCCGAAGGGCAGGTGATATATCATAATCTTTTCGACTTTTTCTTGAAAATTCATTTTAATATAGCAAGAATTTGTCACTTTTTTCCAGCAAATTATAAAAACACCAGAAAACCCAATAAAGAAAACGGGTCACCTTCAAATATTATATGGAAATCTTGCACCTGAAGGTTCAGTAGCAAAGATCACAGGAAAAGAAGGGTTATATTTCTCTGGTAATTCTCCCATTTTCCCATTTTTTTTTTATTTAATTTATGAATAATGATTTGGGAGACTTTTTTCAGGTCCTGCATATGTCTTTGAGGGGGAGGAAGCCATGATTGCAGCTATCTCTGAAGACCCCATGAGTTTTAAGGTAAACTTCTTTGACTCTAATTAAGAAATAACAATGTTTGAATAGGAAAATGAAAGTCTATTAAAGTATAATACTGTAATAGAAAGCAAATGAAAGTAAGATGCTATAGTAAACTAATTAAAAGCATGTTGCTATTTCTTGAATTTAGTCCCTTTTTTTATTTAAATTTTTGAATGAAATCTTGTTTCAGGGGAAAGTGGTTGTTATTAGAGGAGAAGGTCCTAAAGGGGGCCCTGGTATGCCTGAAATGCTGACACCAACAAGTGCAATAATGGGTGCAGGTCTTGGGAAGGTAATTTTTAGGGTTTCATTCAAAATGGCTTAAAAAGTTATAATTTTTCTTGTTTCTAACAAATTGTTTTTAAAAGCTGTTTAGATTGTGTAAATTAGTTATTATATCGATGAGATATAAATTTGTGAAATTTTGCAGGAATGTGCATTATTAACTGATGGAAGATTTTCAGGTGGTTCACACGGATATGTTGTTGGACACATTTGCCCTGAAGCACAGGTTTCATCTTTTTCCTCTTTCTAACTTCTAACCCCATGAAAACTTGCACCTTAACTTAACTACCACCCAATGGGCAATTAGGTAATTTTAACCGCAAAATTTGCCACAAAAGCAAAAGTTGGTGATTTTGATTTACAACTCTGATTGAATATGAAGAGTCATTTAAAGGGCAACAACGTAATTTCTGTTATATAGCACATTTCTTATTAAGGCATTAAGTGTAGTTTGAAAATATGGGGATGCAGGAAGGTGGTCCAATTGGTCTAGTGAAAAATGGGGATGTAATTACTATAGACATCAGCAAGAGGAGAATGGATGTTGACTTAACTGAAAAAGAGCTGGATGAGAGAAGAAAGGCATGGAAAGCTCCTGCATATAAGGCTGAAAGAGGTGTCCTTTACAAGGTACATTCCATTTTTTTTTTTTTTCTGAAAATAAACACATTGACTTCAACTTTTAATGATAAATTCACCAAAAGTCAATGCCCAAAGTTGATGTAACAGATGAGTCATTTGAATGGATAGTAGTTGTGTTTATAAAATCATGTAACAATCTTGTTGGTTTTTTTTACAGTATATAAGGAATGTTCAATCAGCCTCGAAAGGATGTGTAACAGATGAGTCATAGAGGTTAGGGAAAGAAGATCTAGAGAATTTTTCCAACTCCGGCTTATTATTTATCTTTGTGTTTACTTTTGGTTGTTTTGAGATTTGAAACTAGAGGATCCAGATATTGTGCAATGCTCCATAGTTGTATGTATTATGTTCATTTCTAATTCTAAACTGCCATAAATTGGAAAAGAAAGTCGTCAGATCCAAATTGTTTGGTAAAATTAGTTCTTATTGACTTGTTTCCATTGATTGTCTTGCTTACTTGTTGAGTTGATTGCCTTGATTACTTGTTGAGTTTTTGCCAACTTGTGGTTTAAGTATTGAATTGTTTAATGAAGCTCATTAAAGTGTCCGAAGGATCTTTCAAAGACCATGCTATAATGAAATTCCACAAAGACCACATCTATAACCTACCCATACTCTAATAGCAAGTGCTAATTTGAATGGTATTCCTTCGGACATGAAGAATAACCCAAGGACATGACGAATAAACCAAAAATTACATCTTATCATCCAAAGCAAATCTTATCATCCAAAGCAAATATATGAAGTGAGAAGGACATAAATACATATTTGATTAGATGACCTTATCAAGAGAAGGGTCATCCATTTCCATAAAAATAACAAGGCATTAAACAAAGATGTTTTGTTGTTGAATGATTTGATGAATTTGATTAGTTAGAGTATAACAAAAAAGAGAAAAATGTCTATTGTTTATGTTGTTACTTGTTTGTAGACAGTATAATAACAAGGTGAGAGAAATGCATTTGTTACAGAAGGCTTTAACACTTCGAGTAAAAAAAACATTGTGGGATCATTTGGGTAACTTGAGATCTCACTCTTTGCTACACGATAACCGATTTGTTAACTAGAAGGGAATTATAGACCTTTCTCGTTTGATGAGTGGAAACGAGGAAACATCATTCTGTTCCTTTGGTTTTGTTCGTTGCAACCCCAACAAATGAAAGATGTTTTTCGGCGATGAAACTCTTGAAGACCTACTTCAGTAACAAAAATGAGTGATGATTTTATGAACGTAGTGTTGGAAAAAAAAACACTTACATTGTTAAAATTGAAAATTAATGGACCGTTTTAAAAAAAATGAGTAAACAAAGACGTCAATTTTAAAATGTAATATCTAAACTACTTTGTTATATTTAATAAAATGATAATTTTTTAATTATCTTATTACATTTTATTGGAAAAAGTGTGCTACCGCTAACAGAATTTTCTGGTTCCACCCTGTATGTGAATATAAAATTTTCTTTAATTTGAGTTTTTTTAAAAGCTCTTAAAATCTTTTAAAACGCACTACCAAACATACCTTAGGGGGGTGTTTGAGATTTGCTTATTAAGATAGTTTTGTCACCGTTAATAAGCACTTTTTAATATTTGGATAGAAAAATATGTAAATATTTATTGACTTGAGTTTTTGATAAGTGCCTTATTTAGAACTTGATTTACATGTATTTACTAGTTTGCCCTAATTCCAACCACAAACCTAAGAGATGGGATAACCATGCAACCAGAACCTATGGAACATTTCCTACGCAATTAATGGAGTGCCCTTATCAACAACATTTTCTGTAAGAAATAAAAGCTGCTACAGCCTTTGTTAACAGTTTATTTTATTTTTCTCATTATTTTATTGTATTATATTTGTTTTCAATTATTTCAACATGTTACTTTATTATTTTCACTTTGCATTAAATACCACAATTTGATAAGCAGTGTAATATTTGATATTCATCCATACATACATCGATGACGTCTATGTTGTGTGTATTTATAAGAAAGCAATAATATGAACTATCACTAGTTTAGTGGTTATTATTGATATATATTTTAATATTATTGAAATAAAGTTCTGTCAAAATATTACTATAGATAACAAAAAGAAAAGATTATATGTAAAAACATAATAAATCAATGATATATAAGAATGTCTTTTTTGGTTAATAAGCAAAATTTATCAAACACCAAAAAAACAACTTATCAATTTATTCCATTTTTATACCTAATTCAAAAAAATTAATAAATTCCGTTTTGATACTGTATAAACTAATAAACACTTTTATAAAAAGACGTAAACTATTTTAAATAAAATCCCAAACACCCCCTTATTCATAATACCACGGTCCACGGGGCAAGAAGGTTTCAAAATCAACGTTTTAAGATCTCATGTCGTAAATATAACAAAAGGAATTCCTATTATCTAAATGGAATACTTATTGGTAACTTCATTTTTATTTCGGGGTTGAAAGAGATATCAATAGATGGACTTTGTGATTATCATTTTGGGTTAATAGCTGTAAAGAAACACGTGTTCAGTCTGTTTTCACTTTCAAAAGACAAACTTTTAAAATCACTGTTACTGTCTACATTTATATATTACAAGTTCATATAGCAATATATTTATGATGGTGCTAGAAATAATGATTATTTCCTTACAATCTTAATCACCCAACAAGTATAGAAGATACTACTGACTGAATCTGGTTAATGCAGATTTGTTGGAGACTAAAGTTGAACATCTTGGAACTTGAGGTTTTAGTCCTAGAATAATGTGTAGTTGTGTGGAACTTAGGCCTAGTTCCCGAGTTTAATAAAAGAAAAGAAAAGAAGAGAAAAGATTAGAAAAGAAAGGAAAATAATTTTTTTTTGTGTTTCCGAGTTGGAAAGAAGTGGAAGGAAAATTAATCATTTTGTTCTTTCTTTTTAAATCAATCCAAATCGGAAGGAAAGTTTGGAGGGAAAATGATTCTTCTATTTCCTTTCTTTAATGAAACTCAGGAACACCAATTTCTTTTATTTTCTTCTCATTTCCATTCATTTTCTTGTTTTCTCTCTTTAAGTTCGGGGTGTAAGCTGGAGATTATGTTTGTTAACGTTGAGGAGCTGCTGGGTATTATTGTTAAAATAGAGATGAAGCTTTAAAAATTGTACTAGGGGCTTGGAATGCTTTTACATGTGGAGCTTTAATTGGATGAACTAAAGCCTTCCGAAACTTGTACTATGATAGTTGTATGATTGTATGTCTGTATCCACTTCAATGACACAGCTCTATTCATACATGTATAGTGAGGCAGATTGTACGCTATATATAGAGATAGAGAGTGTTAGGTTTTTTTGGACATTAGGTCACAATATACTCTCCACATTATCTATATGATAGTCTATTTGTTTTTCTCTTAGAACTCTTAGGGTTTCATGTTTTTGATCTTTGTTAGGATAGAACAATGATGAGAGAAGAGTGTAGTGCAGGATCTGTGAGGTTTTTCTTGTGAGCAAAGTCGTTTAATGAGAAGTTGATGGTTTATATTTTTAACAGTTTAAAATAAAAACCCACTTACCTAGTTATCCTCCTATTTGATTATATATCTATGTAAACAAATAAATATTCATCTTAAATTGCGTTCTCTAAGGCAGCAAGATGCTGTTGCCATGTGCATTTTGTCCTATGTTTACAAAGGGAGCATCTAGGCTGGAATTGGAAAGACTCTCTCTCTCTCTCTTCTGCCAATGATTTGATTAAGTTTGGTTTTTCCTAAACTTGGAATGAACCAAAAACTCGGTTTCTATCCTGAAAGAAAAAATCCTTTCTTTCTAAATTATTGATTTCTATGTCCCATTGCATCAGCATTCAATTTCTTCCGTTTTCATTTGGTTAACAATTTCATCAAGATGTCTTACGTATCAACTTCAAACTACTTGATTGGACACCTAAATATGTTTTACATCAATGATTTGAGAAAATTTAGACTGTAGACTAGAAAGCAAACTCAATTTTAAAAAGTATTTGTGAAACGGCGCGTAGTCTAAGGTTTTTTGTTATGTTTTTATAGAAAAAAACAAAAACGCAACTAACATTTCCTGGGGTCCAAGATGATTTTTTAGTATTTTGTTTGATATAGTATTTTTCCACACTTCCACAAATGATTCACGTTCTAAAAAATAAGCCAAAATTATTTTGTCTTAATGCTATTGTGCAATTATCATTTTTCATATCCTGATATTTTGTATGTGACACTCCGACCCTATGTACTTTAATTCACTAGGATAAAACCTTTTATTTGGTTTAACAAAATTACATAAACGGAAATGCATAAAAGAAAATCTATTATAACAGCTAATAATACATTCAAACTTCTATTAAATTAATAACTATTTATTGTGTACCTACTCATTCCTTCTGAGATACATACATGAATACATAAACTTTAAGCTTAGTGACTACTTATGGTTTTGATTATTTAGCATAAATAGTTAATGCAAAAATAACAATCAATGCATTATTTCTTGAAACATGCTTAAAAAAATATTATTTTGAGATTTCATAACTACATGTAAGTAGCCCATATAAGGTTGTCCCATAAGGTCTATTTGCAAGATGATATTTCATACCGTACCCTATACGAAGGGTATTTAAATGGCCAAACTGAACATGTATAAAACTTTGATGCTATCTTGATAATATATTAACACATGTTTTTATGTGACATAAAAGAACTAAAAAAATCTATGTGACAATGTGTTAGGAGTGTTACCACTCCCTCCAGTCTTAGAAGCTTACACCGCAAGCTTCTAGCTCTTTTATGTCATCTTCTAACTTAACTTAACCACTTTATAAGTTTACACCTTACTGTCTCTTTAAGAGTTTTCACTTCATGCTTCTAACTTAACTTAGGGGTGTTTAAGATTGCTTTTTAAAATATTTTATTGACTTATTGGATTTTCGAAAAGCTAACAAGTTAAAAAAAATGTTTGACAAACTCAAAAACACTTTTCATAATAATTTTTCCACTTCAAAAAACACTTTTTAAAAAGCATGTAAAACTTGACTTTTTGAAACTGTTTTTGACATTTTTACCAAAATAATTTCAAAAATGAATTTTTAAGCTAAACATTTTTTTTAACTTATTGACTTTTTCACCATAAAAGTTAATCCACACACTTTTTAAAAAACTCTTTTTACCAGCAGTTTTAAACACCCCTTAGTCACTAAAAATCTGGATAGCCCTTATCTTGTACAACCTATATATAGGTTACATGGTCAATCTCATTGTCATATTATGCTTTGGTGGCTTGTTCTTTGTGTTGTAGTTGTAGTTATTGTTAGTATGATGTCGGCATATAGTAAGCTACTTGTGTGCTTACTTTTTTAGTTTTAACTTTTCTTTAAAATAAAATTTGTAATAGTTTT